TACTGACCAGGCTCGCACCTGCTGAGCTTCAGTGGGTTGCCAGTTGTGAGTTGCAGGGTGATATGGGTGCTGGCATTGTGAGATAAATCCTCACAATAACTAACAGCATAAACAGTCTTTATGACTTTTAAGGAGTCACAGGGAGAACAAACTTATTCAGTCTCCTAAGTGCTGCAGACATGCAGTGAGACCTAAACATACCATACCCCAAACACAGATGGTATGATTTACACATCACTGATCAATTAGCACAGAGTGTCTGTCTGAATAAACATCCCTGTTCAGTGTTACCAGAGTCATTCAGTTTTTAACCCCACATTATGGTAAAATGTGTCTGAAACCTGTTAAGATGAGAGTAAAACCACATTTTATTTTCTGGATTATTTCTTTCCTAAGAGACAGGCCTCAATGTGTCAGATTCAACCAGCAGGGCAGCACAATGACATTGATCTCCACTGGCTCTGCTCAAGACTCAGCCATTCCTCCTGCTCTTTTCACATTGTAGACAGGTGACTGGAGGAGCCCAGACCAGACATATGTTTACTCATGGGCTCTGATGACACAGTGCCTTGGGGCAACCTTGTTGTGTCTTTATATAGCAAAGGCGCTATATAAAAATAAATTGAATTGAGTGATTGTAGACACGTCTATTCAAGAGGCTAACCTCCACTCTACACTTGACAGCTTAGGCCTGTGGTACCAAGATCATTTCCTTCACTTGAATGTTAATAAAACAAAAGAAATGGCCTAATCATCAATACAAGAACACTCACAGTCCTAAAGCCATGATCATCAATAGCAGCACAGGAACACTCACAGCCCTAAAGCCATAATCATCAATAACAGTACAAGAACACTCACAGCAAACCATTTACAGTTGTTTTATAGAATCGGTCCTTACATTCAGCATTCTGGTTTGGGTCTCTTAGCATCTCCAACCAGAACAGGTTGTGTCTCTCAGTAGTAGAATAGTGAGCTCTAGCAGCATTGTCTTAAATACCTGTATTATTGTATAACACACAGCATCTTGTAGAATTTTATATTGCGTTTTATTGTAGTTTTTGTATTTGTATGTGTGTATTTCTGGTCACTGTATTTAAAGACAATGATATTGTCCTGGGTCCTATCACCCCCTCTGTATGTCCTTTTCCCACCTGGATCAGGACATGTTCCTGCCTGTGAAGACTAAGCCAGTCTGTCCAGCTTCATACCTGCATCCATTAGTCCACTGAAGTCTAAGGGTTTCCCTCTGTCTCTTCTTCACCATGAAAAAGGAAATGCTTGGATTCAGGGACATATCTCATCACCTCCTTCCTCTTATTCACCTCTGAGTGTGAGCTTATTCTCATGTCAGGGAAGAACCCCCTGCCCCAGGGACAGGATAGAGGAGCATTTAAGAAAAAAATACTTCAGAAGCACCAGGTCCATGTGGAAAGGCCCAGCTTTAAAAACTCAGCTAACAGAAAGATGTATTTATTTATGTATCCATATGTATTTAAAAAGGATACAGTGAGAAGCTCCTTAGATGACCCAGCTATGAGGTATCATGACATGCTACTTACATTCTTTTAAGAAAATACAATTGTTTGCTACAGTTCCTTCTCAAAGGCTCAAATGGCAGCTCTTGTGGTGGATTAAGATACTGCAGACAGATGTCATTTCACATCCCCCTGCCTCCGGACTGCTGAGAAAGCAAACAGCAGGCGCTGTCTAGGCAGTCTCGTGACTTGAAAAATAAGACTCTGTATCTCGGGAACAAAAGCAGCTCGGAAGCTACTTTCAACAGCACAACCTAGCACAAAGAGAGCACTAACAGATGAGGGTGGTTTGCTTCTCCTGCCCTGCTGTAGGGGGGCTGAGTGATGTCACACTCATGTAAAAACAAGGCGCTATACAATATCTTGAGCATGAACACATGCTGCTTCAACACCACAAACCAGTACAAATGCAGCACTAATGAATGTGGTTTCATCGTTTGTGTTGTTTGTGGGGAGGGGGGCAACTTCACAGAGCTTAAGGATTGAAATATACCATAACATGTACTGTACTGTTTAATATGATAATTATACTTATTTCCACTTACAACTAACAATATTAATGTTCTTAACATGACCACTTAATACATTTGATTGACAAGAATTCAGTATTCATATCTGACCCCCACAACCTCCAGTGTACACTTTATGTACACTTTTAAACAAAGACAAACACTTAAACCTTAACCCATGAAACAATAACATCCCTAAATATTAACTCATTGACATTCCTCAACGTCATTAACTCAGGATAAAAGGTCTGCTTAAAACTGAGATAGAACAACAGGAGGGTTTCCAATCAATCCAAGTGGGTTAAACCAAATCATCACTAAATCCTCACCAGTGACATTCCTGGGGTCAGTGTGGGGCTGATCCTGAGACAGTGCTGGACCAGCTCACACTGTGAGCAGCTGTGTAGAGGGGGAGGCTCATGCAGACTGTGTGCTCTTTCTCTTTCAGAGGTGTTACAGCTTGTTGGTCCAGCTGCTCCTGTAGTTGTGTCCCCTGGTGAAGAAGCTGTCCTGCCCTGTTACCTCTCAACCAGAGAGAGTGTAGAGGACTTAGAGATCAGGTGGTTTAGAGGAGATTATACAGCCCCTGTGTGTCTGTACCAGAACCGCAGGTATAACTCTGACAGACAGGACCCAGCCTACAAGGGAAGGGTGGAGCTTTTCTCCAAGGAGCTCTCCAGAGGCAACGTGTCTTTAACACTGAGGAACATCACTCGCTCTGATCATGGACAGTACATATGTATGGTGCTGTCTGATCTCTGGGAAGATGACACTGTTATTGACCTGTCTGTTAGAGGTGAGTGTTTAAAATTTCACTAATCATTACCCACAAAATAATTGTTGTGCTGCATAATAGCAGTTCTATAATACATTAGTATGATAATGAGTCTATGACAATGTGGATGTATTGAATATCACTG